AAATCATCAAGGCCGAAGGTACGTAAGTACATAATTAATTATCTGTCATTTAAATTCGCATGATTTAATATTTGTTATAATGTTATATTTCATTGTCACTATATATTCTTCCTTGAGATGGGCGATTGAGTGGGAAATCATCAGTTTTAATATATTTTTTAGCGCTGGGACAATATCTTTGTTACAAATGTTATATCGCTCTGTCTACATCCTAGCATGACAAATGTTATATCGCTCTGTCTACATCCTAGCATGACAAATGTTATATCGCTCTGTCTACATCCTAACATGACAAATGTTATATCGCCCTGTCTACATCCTAGCATGACAAATGTTATATAGCTCTGTCTACATCCTAGCATGAAAAATGTTATATCGCTCTGTCTACATCCTAACATGACAAATGTTATATCGCTCTGTCTACATCCTAACATGACAAATGTTATATCGCTCTGTCTACATCCTAGCATGACAAATGTTATATCGATCCGTCTACATCCTAACATGACAAATGTTATATCGCTCTGTCTACATCCTAACATGACAAATGTTCAGTACTAGTGGAGGAAATGGAGGAAATCTCGAAAAGATTACGAGTGAGCTATTTTACACTGAATTCACTATGAAGCATAACATTGCATTGCTATATTTGAAAATTAATTAATCGTTTTTAAAATTTTACTTCAGTTTTGATAAATATGTTTTTGAGTGAACTCTAACTTAATTCATATCATCTAAAATATAGCTAGGTAGTTTACGTCATATGGGTCCAAGAAACTAAGAACTCATTGCCGATATAGATGTTCTAAAGGTACGTTATAATTAAGTCTACAAAATTTAAATATGTGAAAAGTTTGAATACATTCCTATAAAACGTCAATTCACAATATAAATATAATTTGCCTCTTTTAAAATACTTCCTGTTGTCACTTTGGTCAAACAAATACCAAGTACCTACATTCATGTAACCGTACTGATGTTCGTCACTCATTTATATACGATGATCACAGGTGTATGGCTAAATAAATACAGTAGCGTCCTAATGCCATTTTGTAAAAAAGCAGGATCTTTCGTCGATAACTGTAGATAAGGGTTTGCGTTTACATAAAACACAATCATGGAATTCTTCTACTAGAATATCGAACGATCATTTTCCACAAGATCTGTTTGCTGCACACGCTATAAATGGGAGGATTGATAAAGATACGCTCCGTTCGATCATTTTATAAATTTGCTATCGCAAGGCCGTCGTCTTCGGGTTTTTTTTTTTAATTACAAGGACAAGTAATGTATATAAGGTTGGTTCCTTTGCTTCGTTTTCAATATATCCATATGGACATTATCGATCAGTTTGTTTAGATATGTACACGATTTGATTTAACTATTCGATAAGTGTCAATCACAAAGTGTTTCGTAAAGGGAAACGGAGAGAAATGATTGGGCAATGGAGAGAAGGAGAGGAATTTTGTACACGGAATCGAATATATACATTTTGATATATGAACATCCATGAAATTTTAATATTGTGTCTACTTATAATATGAGATTTCTTATGAAAGGCGCGTGATAGCACTAAAGTTGTGCATTGTTTTTCATTTTGAATTTGTTATTCATTACACTACATTGTAATAAATGTAATGCATCTCGCTAAAATAAGTCACTATGATACACTTTGTAGTATAAAACTGGAATATAATGTATACAATTCATTTAACATCAAGTGTTAATGTCTGGTCCTGGCCCCACCTAATTGACTAAACGCTATCCACTACAAACTTCGTCCGTCACTTGTCGCTCGTTGTTACGACCGGGAACGGTGAAACAGAGCATGCGCACACAAAACAAAGTACGCCACAACATTTCGTTTGTATGATAACTGTCGATAAGTAGCATTAGGATAACGTCATATTCACAAGGTTATTTTACTCATGTTTTAAAAATCAGCACAGACGTTCAGGAACATACAAATTAATGTAAGTACATGTTAAATTGTTTCCATATGATTAATAGTTACATATTGATTTCATCTTTTCATAACTTCACAAAGTCAATGGATATGCTAATAATTGTTTTAGCTTTGTAAGAGATTACTTATATAAGGTTAGTAGCTAAAGTTTGAGAGTATGAGATAAAGGCACTGACATGAACAATGATTAGTTTTAAATGTATGCATTACTGACACTACTTATAGCTTTGTTAATGTTGTTCTGTTCCGTGTTTAACAAGTGTTCAATCGAGGAAACTCTCCAAAAGTATTCCCCTAAAATACGAGATGTCTGATCTTCACTACAGATATTTCGCTCCTGGCTATGGGGATCCAGTTCTGTAAAATAATTATTTTACAGCCTTTTTTTTCTAAAAAAAGGCATTGATAAATGTTTTTATAGTTTGATGTGTACGTTTCTGGAAAAAAACAATAACCTACTAACTGATATCGTCTTAAACAAAGTAAGACAGTGTACGTCTAACTTATATAGAGCGTCAAAATGGGTTAAAAAGCGACGAACTCGGTGAACTTTGGTATGCCAGTAGACATAAAGCCAAAATAAACAAATACCATATGATATCCAAATGAACTCGCTGTATACTTTATGTTGTCGTTATGGTCAGATAAATACTGCATACATTTATAACGATGCTCTTGTCTTTTATTTACATTAGAACATCTAACTCGATGATCACATGTTTACAGCAACTGCAATGCGTCGACAGCTCAGGACATTGATAATTGATTCTTAAGAATTAGAATTTGAGTCTTCCACAATAGTATGAAGGGATCAATGTAAAATACGGTTTTCAAGAAACGTCCCGCCAACACGTATTTTCGCTGTAGAATGGAATTTCCTTACAAATGCACCATGGTACCATATTCAACTGTATTCCCATAGATGCCGTGTGTAAGCTCTAATTTGTTATTCTTTGAATGAATTAGGTGTGGATACTGAACCTTTAGGAAACAGCATCACTCAGATTAAAGTAATTATTTCAGATGTTTTACGTATATTGTCATAATTAACAATGTTTATATTTTTTCACAAATCTGGTACAGCAAACAAAACGATATTACAGCTTAGATCATGTATCATCTGCACCTCGGACTGAAGACATTTTCTACAGACACACAATAATGTGACGCTTCGATCGGACGTTATTGTAAATACGTAACCTATGTTAACTATACACCCTCATCCTCGATACTCCAGGGGTCACATTGTACGCTCAATGTCGCTCCGTGCATAGAGCGAAAGTGAGCGTGATCTGATAACTGATGGTTTTGACATCCTTCTGTTGATTTGGTATCGAATGTTTCCTTGTAAACAGAGATCAGAGATGTTCACACTGCAATGTGTAGCTGTTATCTCTGAGTTATGACCGAAACTGGTAACAGTGTTAAACGTGAGAGGCTGGGTACAATGTTGACCAAGATGTTGACTGACATTTGGTACCACTTTCGTTCTAATTATTGTTTCAATTGGTTCTTAATCAAAAGTTATATGCAGTTTGATGGGAGAAAAAAAAACTGCTATATATATGTCACGATTTGGGACCTATTTGTGACAAAATGTATGTTCTTTGTTAAAAGAATATAACAGTAATATGCAATGTTCAATAACAGTATGAAGGCTAACCACAGTTCGCTTCGATTACATAGTTTTTTGTTCAGGAGGGTGACATCTGCAGGTTATAAAAATAAAAGGTTACATCTGAAAATGGCGTTTTTATTTTATATCACATCTTTATTAGACGTACAGTTTAAACATAAGGTCACGTGCTTTTCTTTGCTGTGTTGTTTAAAAAAATACAATTTTTACATAAATGAAAACTTATGACGTAGATTCATTTCTGCAGGAAAAGACTTATAAAGGCACTGCCTGTTGTCTAATCATTTTGTCAATTCAATAAATTTGTTTAAACAAAAACATATTTTTTGCATTGAGAGATGATGATGATGATGATAATGATGATAGATCATGTATATGGTGATGACATGAATTTAATATCTTAATACCTTTTTTATAAATATTAATAGCGACTTCATCTAACGCAATGTTTACAAATTTCGCCCGTTCCTTTTTCGCCCGTTACCAAAGTCTTGTTCAATAAATTGATTGATTAGTCGATTTCTTATCAATCTAGCTATCAATCAGCCTGCTATTTGATTTGATTTTTTGATTTGATAAAATTGCAAATCTGTACAGGCTGATACCTATTCTTTGAATTTTACAGAGGAGAGACAACCGACTTTAAAGCCAGGCAATTTTACCGTTACGCTACTGCGGTATTCATTTGATGTGCAGCAAAGGATCAATCTAAAGTTTTCTCGTATCATCCATTAGGTAGTCATACTGAGCTTTCGATTTTGTCATGTCTTTTTTCCAGGGGTGAACATTTCGTAATGTTTAAAGAGCTTAAATGGACGCTTATGTAACCCCTGGATAATCGAGGAGGGATGAAAGCACCAGGAAACACTCATTGTTGATACAAACTATCGCACCTGTTATTCCTGACATAATTATCTTTCCCGCTTGAAGGTTAATCAAAACTAATGTATTCATTTACCATTACTCGAGATAATATTCTCCTATTGCATCGATAACCACGGATTATATATATTAAATGAGTCACTTTTTACATGACGGGCGTATTACTAAAGTATGTACCACCTCGACTCACGGCAACCGTGTAAAAATGGTGTAACAAAAGAATTAACAGAAACCTACAGACAAATTCACAGATGGATACAGTAATCATCTTTGAAGTCTATAATAGTGCAGCTGTTATATATGGTCACAAAACAGACAATGTTCTGTTATGCCGATAATCCGCTAAATGTTCATTCATGCATAGGTAAGAGCCTATTTATAGAACGGTGGTTGAGGATATATCGAGAATTTTAAAAGCATAAAAGATTCATGCTTTCGTTCGTAATTCTCAGACAATTTAAGGTGTTGATATTTTTGTACTTTTTTTCACATTCCAATCCGATCAAATGGCTTCAGATCAATTACCCCGGGAATGGAAGTCTTTGATAGAGAATCTTGATCAGAAACAACGGGACGCAGTAGAGAGCTTGGAACAAAATGGGTGTTCAATCAAGGAAACTAAAAAAGCTATTTCCATCTTTGAACAAAGCAAAGGTTAGTATATGTTGATGTTTTGACTTATATGTGTAATTACCTTAAATGTGTTCCTTTAATAGACTCAAATAAAAATGATTAGCCAAAAGAGAATTTGCCCACATATATGGCAATACAAACGATCTCTTAAAAAGACTTTATTAAGCGATATAACATAACATGCTCCGAGTAAAAACCTATATGCCTAAGTCGACAGAGGTAAAGAAAACAGGAGAAAATTGAAAGTTATAATTTTGACATGAAGAACGTTTTCAATCTTACTGATAAAATTCGTATTAAAATGTTAAGGATTAAAATATAAGTTTCAATTCGATTTTTTTTTTCGAGGAAAAGATATGTACAAAATAAGGTCAAAAGAACTCAAAAGCAAGTCTTTTGTGTTTCGATCCATACCTAGAATATCACAGAAGGGANGTTCCGAACCATACCTAGAATATCACAGAAAGGGAACAATGCCATTGACCCCCATTATAACGTCACAAAGTTGTGTTCCGAATCATACCTAGAATATCACAGAAAGGGAACAATGCCATTAACCCTCATTAGAACGTCACAAAGTTGTGTTCCGAACCATACCTAGAATATCACGGAAAGGGAAAGGTGCCAATAACCCCCATTATAACGTCACAAAGTTGAGTTCCGAACCATACCTAGAATATCACGGAAAGGGAAAGATGTCAATAACCCCGATTATAACGTCACAAAGTTGTGCTTTTGCTTCAACATCATAAACCAGTATTTCATGTACACCGCGCTGGAATAAATTCCAGTAACAGTATTTGCATCAACCTCGGGGACTGATAATTCACCAGCAAAGTCAACCGCATTGTTACAATAAATAGGTAGTAAGGAAGCACATTTTTGATTATACTCAAATATTTTTCTGCTTTAGGATTTTGAATCAAACTTATTCATTACGAATGAAAAACGATGTTGTTATATTAAGACAGTTAAATACACAATTTCCGACATAATCGTGAACAGAAATATCATTTATAGTGTCAATAGAAATTCAATAAATAAATATAAATTGATATTAATTTCAATAAATCGCATAGTATATTAAACTCTGTAAGTATTGAAACAGTGGCGTGATTGTAGTAATAACTATATTGTAATTAATTTTGCGTTTGTGCAGGCCCCGGGAGGTTTTGTGGAACAGACTTGATGAAGATAATTTTAAACGAAAGGGACAAAGAACATGGTAATTCTTTAATATTTTATTTGTTTAATCGATCAAACCGAATTTAACACGAATGAAGTTCACCAATTCGAGTTCGATACATCATTATGTTTTCTAATCATATCAATCATCGTTAAATACTAACATTATCTCCTGAAAGAGATATTACGAAAAGGAGCATGGTTGTTAATTAATATATATAATATATAATATATATAGGGTCACATCTTATGAATCATATTTTTAAAATATCTTAATAACTTTTTCCATCAGAGAGTGAAAGTGATGGAGAAAAAAAGAGCAGCTTGGAGGACGAGACTTCCAAAGAGGACAAGGAGAATAGTGGTGCTTACGTCTCTAATGAGGGGCGATCCTCCAACAACATACAGACAAAGAAATGCGACGTTTGCTACAAATCTACAAGGCCGACCTTAGTTACTATCATGTGTGCTGGCTGTAAAGGTTCATTCATTGCGAAACGGAAACGACATTTTAGTGCTAATTTTTAGTAACAATATTCTCAATATTCAATGTTTTCATTGCTGTGCGAAGTTAAATGTATTTGATCAAACTGTTTTTAACGAAAAGAAAATTTGGCAGGAGAAAAAATCCAACAAATAATAGTTGCTGTTGTAAGGTAGACACATAGTAATCTTAAAATAACATGTAAAACGTACGAATAAGACTTTTATGCTCGGATCATTCTTTATTCAGGGGAACGAGAACGCGAAGACTTAAAGGTTTATAGACAGTAAACAGTATACAAAATGTTTGTGTGACAGAACACTCCCATGCTAGATCTAAGTAAGGTGACATAACAACTCCCAGATAGATCTTAGTAATGTATAAGAATCGAATACATATTTGGAATTTCGTCAAGAGTCAATCAGTAGATTTAACTTTTGAAATTTAATTTGATTTAACCATAAACCAGGTTAAAACAGTTTTACCAACTTCTTTTAAAATACTATTCCTGTCATTGAACAACAGATAGATATCAAGGTAAAATAGGGCCTCCTAAGTTTAGAGCAAAACTGTAAATTTACATAATTCAGCATTATGCACGTTCTGGCATGCTCTTGTTAAGTATTTACCTCCATACGCTGTACGTATGCTGTTTATGAGAGAGAAAGGAACGTAAGTTCTGATATCGAAAAGTCCGTATTGGGGAATTTTCAACGTTTGCATTACAACGAAGCTTTTTAATTTACAGGAGAAAGATCATGAAGAACATTATGATGTTAAAAGATGAGTTACTGCTGGTTTTAGGCTTTTTTCAGCTTAGGAAGATCACAAAAAGTGACAAATATCTTTCAGCAGAATAAAAAAATAAATAGTTTTTGAACAATATCACCAGTGATATCGAATTCACGAACAATGCCTTCATTTGTGGTAGGACAACTTTCACTTTTCCACTCATAGTCAGATATATTATTAAAGATGGCATCAAGAAATGCTTAATAATAATCTCAATCGCCTGAAAGCATCAGAAACACATCTTCAATGTTTTGCGCTGAATGGAAAGACATCTTGAATACAGAACAGTATGTAATTGTATATCGATATTGAATTCTTACATTACTAAAACGTGTCTTGTGTCGTTGCCTTAATTTGTATTTGTTATATCCTACTATAATAATATGGTCACTTAAATATATCATATTCGAGATGAATTTAAAAAACTATATAAATTACAATGTATTCGCTGTTGAACTCTATATTAGCGAGGTCTGATTTTGTTAAAACTAAATGTTGTTTCATATGTATCGCGAGTTCACTTTGTTCACGTTAGTTCGTGAGATGATTGGACTGCAAGATCAAATAACTAGGATAGATCGCTAAACTTCATTCAAACTGCGGTGAGATGTCTGTAAATGTCCCCTGTTGCGAATTTAAGTTCAGAAATCACGTCTGCTGAAAACAGCATTCATGGTATTTATTAATGTTAATATATGAGAAAAGAGTGATTGAACATGTTGATTTGTATATATTCAGATATATTGTTTTAGATAAAAAAAAATGTCAATCTCCAAAGAAAATTCCAACATTTGTCGGTTATGTCAATTAAAAAGGACTTGTTTAAAGTACGTTTTATGCTGCCTGTAACTGTTTACAATTTGTGAAACTATTCAAGTACTATTGTCAAAACCGTCTTACATTACACGGTTTCACATTACAATCCGTCGTATGTCGTGTTTTATATAAAAAAATATATATATATAGTGGTTTATAGGAGACTTACCTCGAGATGGCGCATCTAATCAAGTACTGTATAAAGGAATGGTTACCGTTTTGGCAAAATGTATTAAAGCAACAGTTCTATATACATAATATATACGCAGTAGCAGTTTTATATACATAATATATACGCAGTAGCAGTTCTATATACATAATATATACGCAGTAGCAGTTTTATATACATAATATATACGCAGTAGCAGTTTTATATACATAATATATACGCAGTAGCAGTTTTATATACATAATATATACGCAGTAACATCAGAGTAAAATATATGCGCAGATTAAAATATATGCGCAGATTAAAATATATATAGCACGATAGAAATAATAAGATACATAATGCCAGTTCTTTATTAATGAGGATCACGCAGTAAAGTAAGCAATATTTATAGCATTGGGAAACCCAGGTATTAAACAATCACGAATAATATTTGTAGTCGAATTTATATCATAAATGCTGATAACACAAATAAATAAGAACACAAGCGTTGCGTTATCATCTTAGTTTCGCTTTACATATACTAGTGTGCCTTTTACTAAGAAGACACAAAAATGCCAATTTTCTAATCTGTGTGTTATTGCGTTAGAAATTTTTCTCATTCGTGATAGGTGCCTTTGCAAATACATTACATAGTGACGTTTGAACCACGACTACATCCAGGCTCAATGCTCTCGTTACAAATATATGTCTGATCAAATAGTTTTAATAGCAGGTCACACGCAATGGGGATATTTATAGAATTAGGAAATCCCCTTTTGATTGAACTTCTAAACTCCCAATCGATAAGCTTTATCGTACGCCGGTTTGCCGTGTAAAGTATGTATTGTATATTTTCATAACACAAGTCAATAACGAAGGCAACGTTTCAAAATCACTGCGTTTTTACATTAGTTTCGCTTTCTATATTGTTTACGTAGCGACTTGTGAACCACAATTACATTTACGTATATGTGTCTAGGGTATATTTAGGGTATCATACCATTGTGCATTACATCGCTACAGTGTGATATTAATGGAGACTAGTTGGCTTATACATGAGATCATACATTATATACGTATGAGAGTTTGACCCCCGATAATGTATAGAACACCATCACTCCTGTCACTTGTTCGGCCATTATACCGTGTCATTGACTTACGTTACAATTGTCAATAGTTCACACACAACATTCGTCACTGACACGAAGAGTATACAACATTCGTCACTGACACGAAGAGTATACAACATTCGTCACCATTGTTTGTTATCGTTTTCGTGCGAGATATTATTTTTGTCTGTAAGAAACTTTCAAATTTGAAAATGTAAATGCTCTCATCTTTCATCAAGCAAAGGGAATTATTTGGCTCGAAATCAACCCCAGTTTGTAACGCTCTTCGACAGTACCAAGAATTCATCGAGGAATCCGGTCATAGTTTTGCACTTATTTCTTCATCAGATATATTTAAAATCAGCGGTTGTTATGTCTTAAATCTCGACATTTCGAAATACAGTGATGTTACCTTGTGACATTGACAAACAATATGTACACGTGGAGAGGAACAATGGTTATTTTCGCAACAATTTTTTAAATAAAAGAAAATCCGGGCTAACTGGGAGTTGAAATAAAATATGGAAGATTTAATTGTTTATCGATCGGTTGATTTTTTTTTTTTTTTTGTGGCGCTACGATCGCCATACACAGCTACATGTGTTGTCCCTACTTAACATTTCGTATCGAAAAAAATATAATAACTAATCAAGCACTCATTCATACAAACTAAATGTCCCCACTTCATCATTTCATTCAGGACTATATGCCACACAGTATACATGTATACTGTCCTTGAAGTCAGGGTATACGTAAACCAAGCATATTGTGTTTTATCCTGGTCTTACAAATACATCTATTTTTAGAAAAGGTTATTTCCAAAGCACTAAATTTAAAGCAATAACTGGTATTCCCCTTTGTAGATAAAATGGATTTAAATGCATGCTATAATCTTCCGGTATGCGTTAACGTTTAACCAAACCAATACGGAATGTGATTTTACTTAATCTTTGTAGCAGATTTTTTTTTCTTATTTTTATGACAAATTAATCTTTCTTAAAAACTAAAGTAAGTCTAATGACATGAAAAAAATATATTACAAAAATTTAAGCTTTTACGCCGTTAGATATATTATATATTATCTGAGTAAGTGACAACACTCAGAGGACATGTCCAGTCCATAATTCCAACTGAATCTGGTAGAGAAACTCACACCGGCCCCGTTTTACCCTCTTCACGATCATTTGAAACCATCATATCAATGTACAATCTATAACTTAATTGACTGTAAGGTTTATTTGAGGAAAAAACACTGTAAATGAACGTGTACAGACAGTCATGTTACGGATCCTCTTGTGCGTACCGATAAACACTATTCCGCTTAAAAACGATTGTTAAATTGTTTCTGGTATAGTAGCAATATGTTAATTAACACTATTACTCCTAAGCTGATTCCTTCAAAAGTTCGGTTAGATTTAGTATTAAGAACTAGGTATAACTTACGTCAGATAAAACTAGAACGAACAAGTGATATGAATACATACTAATAATAAAATATTTTATTTATGTGTCACAATCCAACCGAACTGTTAGGACCGTAATGGGAATAATAATCGTCCAGTTCAGCATGTTCGAAAGATTCAATATGCGTGGTGTTTCGTTTCAAATTATTGACGTAATGTCATTCAATAGCTTTCGAAGTATGGATATATAACAATCACTAGATATATGAACAAAAAAGCAAGCACATATGTTTTTACAGTGTTTAACGTCTATCAACAGCTAGGGTCATTTAGGGACGTGTCTGCATGTGTGTTGTGTATGCGTGCTTGTGTGTAGGTGTGTCGGAGACAGGGTATGTCAAAGTATATCCCTCCTTGTGATAGCTCGGGTCTGTTGCCGTCTTTATAGTGCTTTCACACTGAAATACCATGCCGAAGGCACCCAGCACAGCATTCTGCCCGGTCACATTATACTGACAACAGGTGAACCAGTTGTTGCCATTACCCCCAAATGATGAACGTCAAGCAGTACGGTTTGTCAGATGCGTATTATTGGTCGGTCGTGAAGTCGTCTAAATAAATCCACCAATGAAATGTCTTTGACATATAACCGTGACCTCCCATGTGAATGTTACGACATGGCATTATATGTCGGGAATCTCAAAGCGGAAGTTTTCTCATCACATTATTAGGCGGATTTGTGAGAAATGGACATGTATTTACCCAAGTTATGCACGGTAAGCGTAAGATACTTCAATCATGCTGCCATTCAAAATCTCAGCGAACGTGTTATTGTTAAGAATTGTGTCTTTCGTGAATAAAGTTATGTTGGCTAAAAAACAAAAATGACGTCAGATCTTAACATATTTATTTTGTTTCGAAATTGTCGTTTGTGTCTTACACGTGTCTCTAGCAATAAGCACAACAAATCAATAATGACAGGCATTTGCACAAATGGTTGAAGTGAGTTAATAACTTAATATAAGTTGTATGTTGATGTTTGGTAGGTTATCGTGACGTCCAAATGTCGTCTACAGTTTTTTAACCACGTACAGCTCAGCCTATTTTTAGATGCGGCCTTCACAGCTATGTTTACCTATTTGACCTTAAGTCTTGGTTGGCGTTGTCAGAGCTGATATCATTATGCGAACGAATGATGACTTCAATACAAAGTAGCGAAAGCTGCCAGTATTACACGTCGGTATATTTTAACATGTAACCCAGGATTATGGATTTGAACAAAAATTAACGTATATTATTAATTTCTATGTCAACTGAATTAATAACAAATATTGTTCTAGCATTTTGTCTGAATGGCTAAGATTGGATCATTTGGCAGGGAAATTGTCTGTGGTAATTGTCTTCGTACATTTATTACATATTATTTGATCTTATCCCATATTGTGTTGCTGTAATAGATTGCACACTACTCCCATTTAGTAAATGATTTACCAGAGTAACATAACAGCGGTAAACTTCACTGAAATGTTCATTACTAGTTCATTTCAAATCATCTCAACAATTTTCTTGGTACTTTTAATATTCGAAAGAGCGTTATGAATATGGATATAATCGACTTTGAGTTTTTTGCATGGATCATGATAATTTCGTGCAATCAACTTTTAAATACTAATTTATATTATTTGAATTATCTTTCAATAATCTTTCCATTTTTCCAAAGGTTTAATCTGTTTCAATATTATGATTAGTCGTGCTATATCCGACAACAAGAAGTTAACAATTGAAAAGAGCAATGGGTGGCTAGTCACTTCCTGTAACGTACATTCCACCGTAGAAGCTCTATTTAACCTCATGCAACCTACTTCCTGGTTAGGTCACATGTCTAGCCTCGTCTGTCAATACACCTGTAATATAATCAAGTTTGCTAACTCTGTCTCACTAGTAAAATGACCCGTTCCGGAAAGCATGGGTTTTGTCATAACCGTTCATAGTATGACGCCGGGAGCAGTCTAGATCGACTGGAAAATTTTAACATGCAAACCAGGATTATGGATTTGAACAAAAACCAGCGTAAGTACATATTCATTTTTATGTTAACAGAATTATTAACAAATATTGTTCTAGCATTTTGTCTGAAAGGCTAAGATTGTATCATTTGGCAGGGATCTTATCTCTGGTAATTGTCCCCATACATTTATTACATATTATTTTATCTTATCCCATACTGTGTCGCTGCAATAGATTGCATACCACTCTCATTTAGTAGGAGTAACATAACAGCGTTACATTTCATTACTAGTTCATTTCAAACGCTGATGAACTAATCTGTCTATATTGGCGAGGTCCGATTCTGTTAAAATTTTACAACTGAATTTTATGCTTTAATTTTGAAATTCCTTTCGTTATACTTTTGTGAAGTATGTCACAGTTAGATACATATGTATAGCGAGCTAACTTTCTTCAGGTTAATTCGTGAAATAAGTGGACTGCAAATTCAAATAACCAGGATAGATCGCCTAACTTTCTTCAAACTGCGGTGAGATGTCTCTAAATGACCCCTGTTGCAAATTTAAGTTCAAACATCACGTCTGCTGAAAATAGCATGCAAGATGTTTGTTA